AGTTTTCAGACGACTTTGCAATTAGCTCTTAGTTACCGCATACATGGGTGCCATAAGACATGAACACGGGGATGCTAGACTCCTCTCCCCCTCAGTCTTAATGTGTATTCCCTACACTTTTAGTAAAATATTAAGTTGTTTTCCTTCTATTATGAATTCTCATATGGTATAATAGTACGCTCCCTTAATTTTACTTCTGGCCATACAATATGAAAACCATTAAAAACCAAGATCCCATATTACTATAATAATAGTTTCTATCATCCCACATTTATAGAATATCAACTCGCAAAAGTAGGAATATGGTCCAGTTCATGTGTCAATTGTAAATATAGGGTTAACAATTGTTTTTTCTTGTGTTATATCATACTGCAGTGCTAATACATCATTGTATCATATCATACTGCAGTTCTAACACATCCTTGTTAATCACCTTTTTTCTCACTGATCTGACTGAACTGTCATCCTGTAATATTAGGGACCTAGCCAAGTTTATAGAACTGTCAGGTTGGTTTTCCTTTACCTAATAGGGAAGTGGTAAAGAACGTACCAATGCTATTCCTGTACCAATGCTATTCCTGTGGTACCACAATGGGCCATCGTTTAAGCTCAAGTTCGCTTTGCAAACAAGGCCGTCACTCCAACCTACCTATCTACCTACTATATATGCTTGACTTTCTGAGAATGTGTTTTAGGTCAACATTGAATAGAAGGTAAGAAAAACATTAGCGTCGACTTTTAACGGTTATAAATTCTGAGGAAATATATTTTAAACTTTAACCATATCCTATTATTTTTCCGACAATTTTTTCAGCATCCAAAAACTGAAAATAGATACATCATTTGTGTAACAAAAAATATAAATGTTTTTTAATAATTTTCAAGCAATTTTTGTATATTTTTTTGTTTTTCATTTTTTATTTATTTATTTTTAATTTAAACAAATATATTCAGTTGCTTTAAAAGATATATACGAATCTTTAGCATTAAAATTGAGGTCAACTTAGAAGTTTACTTATTAGTTTTTAGCACATTGAAGTAGCAAATTGCAAACAATTTAACTTAATACTTATAAATTTTTTAATAATATTTTAAAAATTGTATATAAGCACTTATTTCAGATATAATTGCCGCGTTCTTTTATTATTTTTTTTAGAATTTTTTTTCCATTTACTTATATAGCAATAATAATAGTTTCAGAGCATATTTCGCGCGTAACAATTTTAATATTTAGATAATACATTTATAATTAATAATTTTATATAATAGCAACATTAATTTAATTTTTTTTTTTTCATTTTAATTTGTTGCTTTTTCTGATTTGCAAATATTTATATTTATATTTTAATATTAATATACTATATGATTATATAAAAACAAATTCAGTCCAAAAACATTTCAAAACGATTTTCCACAGATCACTGTTTATATGTAGTTATTTATATAATCCAACAGATTTGGCTGAAAATGTCGAAACCAACGTTTGTCTAAATCATTCCTACGGGTACATAAAATCTCTGAAGTACTGCAATTCTTTTTTCCTTTCATTAGTTCTCCTGTATTAATATCAGTTTCATTATAATAATAACAACCTGTGCACCTATTACAAGAGGAGCAGGGAACTTGTGGAGAACACATGTCATAAGGATAGTTTTGGTTACAGGTTTCATCTGGACCTCTATAACAGTAACTTTTATTAAAAAACGTGTAAGTATTAAATTCACATTTGCCCGGTGTTCGGATCCTGTATCGCTTTGAATATGAACTGAAAAGATATATATAACTTAGAAATGCATATTTAAACTGTAACATATATTATACTTACTATACACTGGCATGAGTCAAATCAAGCAATACGGTCAGAAGGATCAATTGCAACACCAGTCGGAAAAGAATGAGTTCAGATTTTGAACTCTTCTTTTTAATGATTAAATTCATTTTTATATATTTATTGCAATAATTTGTAATTAATTAGTTCTTCCCGAACTTAGTTGTAGCCCCAATATCCGGCTACTGTATACTACTCATATTTCTTCACGGACATCTTTCTTTTATATTAATATATTTTGGTGTAAATTAATTAAATGTTAATTTATGGCATTTTTTTAAGATAATTAATTTTTTTTAGATTTAATGTGGTCAAGTTTAAAATACATGTCACCCTTGTTCCCCACGCACTCCTTCACCGGAGACAACGTAATTGTTTATTGGAGTGTTAAGAAATTTCTTGCTCCTTCGATGTATTGCTATTTTTATTAAGCCAATATATGGAATGGAATTTTTTTAATTCACTATTCGCTGGAATTCCTTGAATGAAGTTGAATGTAAAGGATAATTATGAATTATTAATTCATGAAGCACTAGAGGTCAAGTGTATTGATAAAATTCAATTCTTAATAATTTACTTTAATTTCATTTATTATAGTGAAACGCGCTTCTAGTTAAATCACATAAAAAAAGTAGTTCAAGCTTAAATAGTTTTAGATACTCGTACACTGATAGTCATCTGTATCTTTATATACATTTGTTAGGTTTCTTCTTTCTATTCCCTGTTAGAAAGTCTATTGGAAAAAAATAGGATGTATGTAATCCTATCTATGGAATAAAATGATCCATGCATTTCTGTTCGTTATACAATGACTGCAATCAATCACATGCAAGATATTGATTAGCAATCCTTTAGAGGTTAGTTAATTATTCTTAGTTCCAGTTCCTTGTTAGGCATTTTACAAAAATTCAATAAAGTTTTTAAAGACTATTTGGTGTCAGAATTTACTTATATTGTACTTATGACTAGTTATGTGATTAAAAAATTGGAAAATTAGAATAGAACATTGAAAATTAGAATCTAACATAATTTTTATTGGTAAAAACTATTGTAACAATTTACAAGCTCCTAATAAATATTAAAAACTCATATTAAGAGACAGCATTACCACATTGCAGACGTGCTCACATGTGTTCCTGAGGGACTATAACTACCTCCCTTAAAATCTCCTTATGACGGACCGTTCAAAGTGATGCAGCGTGGTCGTAAGCTTATTACCATTTTAATCAAAGACCGACCTGTCCAAGTGAGTATCGATAGAGTAAAGGCAGCTTACTTGTTGAGTGAAGAAACCGAACCAAACATGCAGTTCTCACGATCTACTTCATTTCAATCAAGTCCAGGTGCACAACCGGCACAAAGACCTCAGCAGGAGCTCAACTCTAGTCACAGCACATTCAGCGGCAGAGTAATTTTAATTTTATTTTAATGGTAATTTCACGTTTCTATTTTACTTAATAGAAACTATTGTATTTGGTAGTGACCTACAACAATAATAATTCTGTTTCGAGTATTGCCAAGTGCCCATCATCAGTGGTCTTAAAATTACTTCTTATATTTAATTATTTATTAAATAATTATAATTTTAATTTTAAAAATGGAAATATATTTGAAAACATGTGTTTGTTATGTGGATTTGATCCACATATTTATCAATTTAAGTTTGTCTTACAAACCAATAGACAAAGCAACAAAAACGGCTTTTAATGTTGCTTGTTTTAAATGATAAATAATTTAAACCTACTGTTATCGTCAACCGGATGTTGTTTGAAAAGGACATTGTTGATCATTCAAGTATCCAAAGGGAAATTCCATTATTTCCTTAAATACTTTTGTATAGATAAATTGTATTACTGATTATAAATACAAGGAACCGTATCTAATTACAATTATGAAAATATATGTGAAAAAGACAATAGAAGGAAAAATCCCAAGTACCGGGACTTCCGTCCTTGTATCCCATTTTGAACCTTTTTGCAAACAACAATAAAATGTAATAATACAATCCACTAAAAATAGAGATAACTAACAACATATTATTTTAACCTTGATAGAAAATTAGTTAAGTTAGTTGTAAGATAATTTTATATAAATAAAGAAACAACTTTCTAGAAAAGTGAGTAATTTTAAACTACTCAATCTGTGTGCATTTATTGTCGAGGGACATTAGTCATAACATGTTGCTTTTAGAAAATGGATTGCGATTTGCTAATTTCTTTGGTTCAGGACAAGGCAAATTCTTATTTTTTATATCTTGTTGAATAAAAATTATGTACCAAATTCATAATTTGTTATATAAAATTAATAAATAATTTAATAACAGTTGTTATCAAATTCAATGTTGTTTTCAAAACAAACAATTCAGAATTGTCAATTAGCAACCTATGTAAAATTAGCATGAAATCTTATCGTAGCCTAATAAGGAGAAAATATCCCGCAGTACATAACTAAAAAGCCTAAAGTTCGTATTATATATCAGATTTGGTCTTACTACTTACTCGATGTCGTTTGCTATTACACATTACACACAATCAGCATTATTTTGAACACGCCCCAGTAAAAAAAAACAACAAATATACTACACAAAAAAATTATTTATGCATTTAAAGGATGTTTTCGCTTCCGTGCCTTAAAACAGAATGACATTTTCCATTAACCCAACAAAAATCCGATTATATACGAAAAAACACAAGCGATTTTGACGAAAAATCAAAATATTTTGTTTTCCATTCAACTTGTCGTCTGACTTGCAAATGTGCTTAATGGTACACAATATCGTTTAAAAATTTTCACTATCTGGTTTTGCTATTATGCCCACGCCGTCCTTACTCATTATAGTGTTTGCTAAAATAAGAGCACTTTATGATTTATTTTATTGTTTGTTTTGGTTTTTTGACGTCAAAATTTCATTACAAGAATTATGTGGTAGTAAATATTTTAGTTATCATACACAATGATTTTAATATTTAACAATTTTGGTATTGTAAATAAAAAATAATCTTTAATATTTGACAATTTTGGTATTGTAAATAAAAAATAATCTATTGTAAATAGATCAAAGATTTTATTTTCGATATTATACAAAGAGGGACATTTCTTTAAAATTTCCTCTCAATTATACATTACATTAAAATATCCTGTATAAAGAATTAAATTTAAAAAATAATAAATTTTGGCAACTCTGTTTCCATATTTGTGTAATGGCAGCTCTTATTAGTTTTCAATTCGCTTCATTTTTTCGCAGCCGGTAAAACCAATGAAAAGTAGTGGTTATTGAGTGTAAATTAATTAAAATTGTTGTGCATAACTTTAATTAAAATATAATAATTCTTAAATTTGAATGTACAGAAAAGCATTTAATGAAATGCCATAGCATTAGATTTAGTTGTAAAACACACAACTTATTTGCTCTATAAACATAAAAGGTGAAGATATTTTTATTGTGAAGCAGGCAAAATACTGTATATTTGCTGTTAAAGAAACTAACTAATGTTAAAGAAAAACTATTTTACAATTAATAAATAAAGAAAATAGTGTATAAAATGTGATTACAACATAGTTTTTGCTTCTGAGGTAAGTGCAATATGTGTATATTGCAATGTCAATTATATTGCATTCAGGCCATGCATTCTTTTCAGTTAGGATTTGTTTGTTGCTTGCCGCTTTGTTTGAAACTCGTTCTCATATATTTTATTTCGATGATTTAAGTTACTTTCACATAAATATGCAAGATTTGTAAAATATCGTGTTTAAATAAATATTTAAGTTTATTATATTAATTAATATTAAATTAATATTATTAATTATTTAAACAATCTTCTTTTTCAGAAATCGCCAAAAACTACAAATCAAAAGCCGCCTAATCCAAACACTTTGAATCATCTGTGTTAGCCTTAAATTTTGGAACGATCTGTTACTTTGGCCGTTATACCGCTACAACCAAGTACTGACTTTATAATTCAAATCTATCTAGTTCACTGTAGAATATTTTATGACATATACAAATATTTTATTTCTTATATCTTGTCTTTATTACTTAGGGCCATGTTATGCAGAGTGTCTCGGGCACGGCAAATTACGCTCTTTCGGGCTATGCCGAAAATACATGTTATGCAGAGTGTCACATCAGTATTGCCAATTTTGTATTTTTCTACTTCTTGGTTGTGCCTAAATTTAAAAGGAAATTTAGATATGCTCTTTCAATTTGCCACCAAAAATAACTCGCATGAAAAAACACATAGAGGCTGTAATAATGTTAATTTATTATTATATTATCTTATAATAATTGTTAACAGTACTTACGCGTTTTTTTAAAATCGGAAAGTGTAATAATTATATTATTAGCGATTTATAAAAAAAATGCTGTGTTGCTTACTGCTATTTTTTCTCCAAAACGTACTAGAATTGTAGTAGTTTGCTCCTAAAAGGCGCAAATTTTAAAATTTATTACTAAACAACACTGTTTTGCCTTAGTGCCGGGGCAAAAATACGCCGGCTCTCATGCCGGAGTTTGAACGGCCATATTGTTTTTTCTCTCATTCTCAAATTTAAAATTTGCATTGAAAACAACAACAATTGTACTCATGCCGTGCCCGAGACACTCTGCATAACATGGCCC